ATATCTTACTTTTGCATCATCAAAATACATTTGACATATTTTTGGTATATATTATATCATCAAAGGTAAGTCATGTCTAAAATATCAGGGAACAGAATCAAGACTGGAAAGAAAGCTCCTAGAGAGCTCAGTGGTTTCCCACTGAAGTTTAAGTGAGTGACTGCTCTTGCCTCTGCAAGAAGCTCTTTCTCTTAGTTGGTGTAAACACATCTAAGATCTTAAAAATAACAAGGAGAGCCACTTCTTGCTCAGTTACAAAGTACTAAAGCCCTAGAGTAAAGGTAACATGAAAAAATTCACTGTAGGATTTCATTTGATCAAAAAATTCATAGGCAATGATTAAAGTGTAATATAGCTTCATCCAAACCTGTAATTCCAACTGACAGTTCAACCACAGCTAATAAAGATAAACGTATTTATCATGGTCCTAGAAACGGAGTTATCTTCAAATTTTCTGGGCCATGTAAATGAGTGTATTCAAAATAGAAAACAGGGTATAAAGAGAAACAGGCAAATGTGTTGCCTCTTCTAATTAAAATGAGACCTAGCTAGTCAATAATTGTTAAATAATGGGAGCCGTACTGTAGAAGCTGACTCCTTAAACATATTTGATAGGGATAAACACAGATATGTGTATGATTAACCAAAATACAGTATAATATACAGACAGAGAAAATAAATCGAAGCAAAAAGAACACAGTAATACATAATTGATTAGATTAAACAGAGTGGTATAAACCATGGTATTTGCCCCCGGACTTAAGAATCCAGTGAGAGACGAAACGTGTATAAATGTCTACGCAACAAATGCCATATTATGGCCCAGACTACATGTGTATGGGTGGGTATGTCCATAACTCCAAATAGCATTTTAAAAATACAAAAAGCAAATAGTGAAATATTTGGATGCATGACATGGCATGAATGTGGATTAGGAACAGAATATAATCCCTGATTGAAAAGAAGGCACACTATCTAAGGTTGAGGAGAAATTTCTCAGACCAGGAATGGTAAACAGGTTTCAACTCAAGCACTAACTCTCAATGACTGGTATATCTACTTGTAAAACTCCTGGAATAAATTTTGAGCAGCAGAAAAGACTGTCATAATAGTGATCTTTACTATGGGGTATTAGGTATTTGAAATCTTTGCCTTAGACCTAAGGAGACAAAGCTTTCACTGGCTAGCTAGATCAGGAAATCCTTCAACTTCTTTATTAGTGACAGAGCTTACAGTCACTTCTAGAATGTACCTGGGGAGAGTAAACGGAGAATCCCAGATCTGAAATTCCAGATATGAAATCCTTTGTGGCTAAAGTTTTTTGGTTCACGCTATAGATTTTATGTCAGAAAGTAGTACCCGAAGAAAAATGGGGCAAGAACGTATGTTGTGGTGGGATGTGGAGGCAGGCAAAGGGGAGGAGAAAATGCAGTCTTTCAGAATGAGGACGTAAAGACAGGATACATCTATTCTGAGGTAATAAAAAAGTATAAGGATCTATTAAAAATGTTTTTTTAAATTTAGGAGTTTAAACTTAAAAAGTTACAAAATAAAAACAGTGCATATCCTTTAACCAGATTCACCCACTGTTAAAATTTTATTGTTTGTTTTATCATTTGCATGTGCATATTCTCTCTTCACACACACACACAATTTTTTGAGCCATCGGAGAGTAAATTACATTCATAATGGCTCTTTACTACTAAATACTTCAGAGTGTATTTCCTAAGGAGGGAGAGATTATTTTATATAATCATAGTATAGTCATTAACTTCATAAATTTACACTCATACAATTTTATCTTCTGCCTATATTCCAATTTAGCAGCTGATCCAATAATTTATAACATTCCCCCCTACCCCCGCAGAGGACCAGTCTAAGATCAGGTATTATTTTCATTGTCTTTTTAGCCAACTTTAATCTGGAACACTTTCACAGCCTTTCTTTGTCTTTTAAGACAGATATTTTTTGAAGAAAACATCCCTCTTCCCAGGACTTAATAGTTGTTATCATCATCATCATCATCATCATCATCACATTCCTCACTTTGTGTCTGATTTTTTCCCATTGTGACGAGATTATGCACTGTTACCTGGCAGCCTGCAATACTCAACCTTCTTAGTCCTCCTCAGGATATTACATGTAGAGGTACACATGTTCATCTGTTCCTCATAAGTGATGATGGTTTTAGTCACCAGTCAAGAAACTGCCTGATTACTCCACTGCATTTTTTCCCATCCTTGTAACTAACATGCAGTTTGTGAGGAGATTGTAAGACCCTGCAAATACCCTGTGCGTCATCAAAATTTCCTCTTCTATTGTGCATACATTGATGATTCTTCTGTGATTCAATCTTGATCATGGTAACTGCAAAAATGATTTCCCAGCTCCAAGACTCTCTTCACATTGTACCATTAAGCTCTTGGAATTCTGCTGTAAAAGCTTGAGACTACTCTTCTCTACCATTCATCTATTATCAGTATCGACTCATGAATTCCCACTTTTTCAATGGTTTACAATTCATTATTGTACTTAATTATTCCATTGTTTAAATTGTCCCAGAATTAGCCAACTGAAACTCCTGTGTCCTTGTGATATGCCTCTGCTATTTTTATAGAGTGCTTAATTTCCAGCATTACAAGATGTTCCAGGTTTATCCTGTACCTACCCTGCCCCAGCCCTTGGAACCAGCCATTTTTTCCACAGGTTCTTGATCTCGTTTAGTGGGGAATGCATTAGAGAACAGGTGCTAAGTGTGCTCATTGCTACTGAATATATTTGCTTCTTGACCCTTCCAGTGGACAAAACTAGAAATGCATATATCTACAACTATACATAACCATATATACATAAATAAATATCCATCAAGACTGCTCTTTTTAAAAAAATATTTTGTATTAAAAATATAGCTAACATTCAGTATTATCTAAGTTTCAGGGGTACACCCAGTTATGCAACATTTATATATCTAGAGAAGTGCTCACCATGATAAGTTCAGCAACCACCTAACACCGTAACTATGCAATCACAATATACACACCTGACCCTATACAGTTATTACTATATCATTGACTATATTCCCCATGCTTTACTTTACATCCCGTGACTATTTTGTAACTACCAATTTGTACTTCTTAATCCCTTCACCTTTTTTATCCTGCCCCCAACCACCCCTTCCCAAGGCTGCTCTTTTTAAAAAGATTTCCTCTGAGGGTTAACAGTAGAGCTTTGGAGCCCAAGTGCAAGGGGAAGAGGGAGAGAGAAGTGTTCCTGTCTACTACGGTCAGAACTGTTTTGTTCTTCCTTCCAGTATAAATAGGAAAGGACAAGTCCTAGCTGTATAACCTAGAAGCTTTACAGATCACCAATCAAAAGCGAAATATCAAGACCCTTTGGATCAGGAAATGTTGAGTAGCATTCAGTGAAATAGCTTAGAAGGTAACTGTAGTCTGGAACTAAAGAAGGGGACAATGGTTTTAATATGGATTTCTTTCTTCAGAGCTCTGACTAGGATAAAAAGGAGTAAACTGTGATCCCTTCCTAAGCTAGATGAAGACAAGAATAGAGTTGAGATTTTCCAAACTAATGTTCAATGAAATGTTAACAGATAACAGGTAATGAATGTGCTTGGAAAATGTTGGGTTAAAATAAACACAAACTTTTATTTATCTATTTTTAACTGCAAGCCTCTAAGAATCTATAAAACACAGTAATATGCAGTATGACTCTGGAGTGGAGAGGAGAATATAACATGCTATAACTCTAAAATGTCTGTCATTTGTTTTTTAAAGGCATACTAATTAATATCTTAAAAACTCTAAAGAACAGTTTGTGTAACTTTCATTAAGAGCTTTACAAAACAGAAAATAGGGGAACAGAAATGAACCAGTCCATATATATAATTGGCAATGTACCCCTCATAAACAATTCACTAGACCACCTAGCAGTCAAAATTCATGGTTAACTTTGCAGAAATTTATACTATAATTAACCTTTTCTTATTTTTCTAGTATATTAAAAGCCAATACCAATTTTTAAAGGATTAACATCAATTTTACACAATCTCGTCCAGAAAACAGAATAAAAGGGAACACTTCCCAACTAGTTTTATGAGGCCAGTATTACTCTGATACCAAAACCAAACAAGAGAGAGTACAAAAAAGACTACCAGCCAATATCTTTCATGAACTTAGATGCAAAACTCCCCAATAAATTTTAGCAAATCTCACTCAACGACATATGAAAAAAATAATACACCACAGCCAAGTGGAATTTATTCCAGGTATACAAGGCTGGTTCAATATAAAGGTCAACAAGACAACAACTGTAGTAATTAATTACTACAGAAAGCTGTATTAATTTTACCTTAGTAACTTTTCAACTATATTTTTAAGTTGTCAACTACTTGGGGAATGAGTGAATAAAATACACAGTACGTATTCTCTTAAATCTATTATACAAGCTCTCAGCTATTCATCATCAAATGTGATTGTTATCAAAAGATCATTTCTAATGAAGAACCTATCATTAACAAGTGAAACAACTTATCAATTAGAACACTAATTTTAAAACAATTAGCAGAAACACAGATCTGGGGTTGGCAACATGGCTCAGGGGCCAATACTAGGTTGCCACCTGTTTTTGTCAAAGTTCTGTGGGAACACAGCCATGTCCAGTCGTTTATGTATTGTCTACTGCTGATTTTGTCTTCAAACAGCAGAGCTAAACAGTTGTGATAAGTGACATAAATGACCCACAAAGTCTAAAATATTTACTATCTGACTCTTTACAGAAAGTTTGCTGACTCCTGACTAACACTAAGAAGATTTTTAAGGCTATTAATATTACTGTTTCTGAACAGTTAAGAATACCATTTCTATAGCTGAGGCATTGTTTTTATCCTATTTGTCTAAAGTAACATAAGATCCCATGTAGAGATGAAACTAAAAATCTAGGATGAAAATGCTCTCTTTTTGTCAGGAAGAAATCTCAAGCCCAATTTTAAAAGTTGAAAATGGGCTCTAGTAACTCTCATTTTATTGATGGTCAATGAAATGGGTACTGAAAATGGCCTTGAACAGATAAAAATATGTCGAGAGTTACATAAGAAGGTAATAAACATACAAAATAGAATTATTAAAAGAGTAGTTACTTACGCTGTATGTGAATGAGCTGCTTTGGCATCTTAAATTCCCCAGGATATATAGACTCATAGTAAGCAATATTACTTTCTGCCTCTGGGACTGGTATAACCATATTATCCCTCTTCTCGCCATACACCTGCTGTGCTGAAATAGCCCGCTGAAGATGGTGTTCCTAAAAGGAAGGAAAAATAGGTAAGTTTGTGTATTAAAAAAAGAGCAAACAGAACATATAGCCTTATGAACAGAGGCTTTATTCACTTAGTAGTCTTGAAAGAATGCTGCAAATACAGTCAGTAGTAAAAACATTTTAAGTAGAAATGAGAAGATTTTGTTAGATAACATTGTATATTTCCTCAGTTTAAGAAAAGGTACTACACTGAAATTGAGAGTTAAATTATACAAAAAATTTCAAAAAGTTGACAAACTGTCACTTAAAATTTGCATTTTACAGATGAGATTAAAAGGGTTTAAACATCTGAACTTATTGTACGAGAAAAGCAGGCTATGGATAAAAAATATTTATTGACTCTAATCTCCTATTCAGTACATTCATGCAAATATCATCTTTTCAAAGAAGGGTACAGATTATTATCCCTATTTTTAGTTGATGAAATGGACACAGATTCAAATCTTGTCTTTTGTCTTGAGTAATAACCTTTTTAAATGAATTTCCAGACCCTTTTTTGAACAGTAGAGAAAGTATCAGGGATTGAAAGCACAGGCTCTGGAGTTTGTGACTCTTGGCAAGGCTTCTAAATCTTCTAAATCTATTTCCTCCAGCAAGAAAAAAAATAGAATCTACTTTACAGGGTTGATTGGAGATTTAAGTACGATAAGTGTGCATAAAATGTTTAGTATAATGCCTGACATATAACAGGTGCTCAAAATGAGCTTTGTTTAGTCACCACACAGGAAAATTTTGCCAGTGTCTGTGATACTACGAGCTGCCATAAAAATATCAGTTCTCACCCAGCCCTGTGATCACTGAATTTTGGTAAACATTTATTAAATTTAAACTAGTTTTTTTAAATATATAAAGTTCAAGGAAGAAAAATATTCCAACAGTATGAAAACAAAAAATTCCAGTCCTCATAAGTAGCCTCTATTAAATACCTGTATGTGTTCATATGTATTTAAATTCACAGGTAGGATTCTACTACACAACATACAGAGCTTTATCCCTAGAGCTTTGGTTCACTTGATATGTTCTGAAGATGCTTCCATATTGATACTTCCACAATTTTTTGCAATAGGTGCACTGTATTCCACTACATATGGATGAAGCATATTTCATTTAACCAGACACTGATAGGAAAAACAAACTCTGGAAACAACCTAAATGCCTATGCTTCTCCCCGAATACTGCAAAAACCACTCCTGTACTATTATTTACAATACATTTTTAAGGGCTTGTGAAAGCATCTATAGGGCAACTACAAATGGAAGTGCTCAAAGGGTATATGAGGTTACAATATATATACATATTCCTATCATTCCTTGTAGTAACTTAACATCCCTTTTGAATTTTAAATTCACCCATCTATCTTGTTATTTTAAATTAATTTCTTTACAATAGTGTTTAAGTTTTTCTGCCCTTAAACGTTGCTGCATTTTGCTCATTGCCAAAAGTATGGCTTTTCTTTTCTCATTCATGTTTCAGTACTCTGAATTTGAATGTTGGTTCCACAGTTTACTAGCCTACAACTTTGGGACTTGGAACAAGAATTTTATCCCAGCAAGTTTTATCATCTGTAAATGGACATTTGTGTACCTACCACATGTGACTATGGTTAAGATAAAATGTCTGGGACATACTAAGTACTCAAAAAACAGTAGCAAATGCATACCTTTCAATATTAAAGAAGCTAAAGAGTTTTCCACATGCTTAGTTACCATTTTTATAGTTTTTCTAGTATGAATAGTGTTCTGTAGAAAGGTTTTTTCCTTATGTTTATATCCATTTCCCATAGCTGAAGTCAAATTTGTGTTTATCAATATTATAGTGAATACTTACTGCTAAAAAAAAATCTTATTTGTGGCTTTTTGTTTTATAAAATATTTCACACAATTTCCTCAAATCTTCAGTCAAGAAAATGATTTCCCCTTAATATATGGCAGTTAAGGGTGAAGTGTCAAGATGTGTGCAAAACACTTAACTGGTTCAATCAAAAAACATTTTCTTATTGTAGAATTAAAGATACTGCAAAACATTAATTAAACAATTTAGCTTAGTAATATAGTTGCTCACTGTATTATTCTTTGAGCTTTTCTATAAGTTTGAAATTTTTTTATGATAAAAAGTTAAATAAGAAAGAATAGGGTACTAAGGACACAAGATGAAATAATATACAACAAATATGGTTAAGCTCGTCTCTAAGTCTTAAAAATCATTCCTCAACATCTGGGATATAACTATAACCTTATATATTCCTATTTCCTCTCTCCTCATGTATGTATGAGGACACCAAGACAGGAAGGAGACCAAACAGAGAAGGCCACCATGGCCAGAGCACAGGAAGTGAGGGGGGAGAATGACAGATGCAACTGTATGGGAGGTTAGCACCAAATCATGCGGGGTCACAGGTCATGTTAAGGATTTGTTCTTTTACCAGGAGAAATAGTGCCTGAAGGGTTTTAAAAGATCACCCTGGTTGCTGTACAGAAAATGGACCATAGTTTATAAAATGGAATATGTGTCGTCTTTAAATGGTTCAGAATAGTATACAATGATATGAAAAACCCCATCAATTTATTAAGTAAAAAAGATGTAAAAATTTAATGTTCAGGATATCTGAGTTTATAACTTTTTCTAAAAGAAAAAGACACAACTAATATATATATATATATATAAACATATATATATATAAACTCTAAAAGTAGATGTGCATACACCAGGGGTGCCAAAAAAAATGCATACATGTGACTTGTACTCATTTTTTGTTATTGGTATATATTGAGTATTACAGTTTTAATACAGTTTTTTTTCCTTTCTTAAAATGTGTACACATTTTTTGGCACCTTCTGTATATAACAATCCTCTTTAAACTCCTATATTCCTTTCCCTGCTTTACTTTTTCATAGCACTTAGCATCCTATGACATGTCATATACTTGATTTACTGTTGTCAACATTTCCTCCCCACCCCCAATCTAAGCATCATTAGGGCAGAGATTTTTGTTGTTCACTGCAAAACAGCCACCCTAAAACAGTGCTGTGCACAAAGCATGGTCTTTAAATATCTGTTGAATAAATGAATATGTAAGTATGTATGTATCTGTGTATGTGCACACACATGCACACACACATAGTTTCAAAGTATATACACCAAAATAACAGATTATCTCCAGGTGGTACAACTTTGAAATGCTCTTCTGTAATTTTATTCCCCATATTTTCTAAAATGTATTTGTAATGCTTTTTGACAAAAAAATTGAATACATTTCAATAAATGATTTTCTAAAATACAATAGTAATTTCTAAAAGACACACATTATTTGGTTCAGTAAAACCTTACCCGTTTAAGTCAGTTAGTTCAAGAATAAAACATTAAAAAAGAATGAAATTTGCTATTTGCAAAAACATGGATGGACCTAGAGGGCATAATGCTAAGTGAAATATGAATATATCAGAGAAACACAAATACCTGACAATTTCACTTATATCTGGAATCTAAAGAAACAATACAAATGAACAAACCAAACAGAAACAGACTCAGACATAGAGAATAAACTGATGGCTGCCAAACGGGAAGGGGGTGAGGGGAATGGGTGAAAAAGGTGATGGGGAATAAGAGGTACAAACTTCCACCTATAAAATAAGCAAGTCACGGGGATATAATGTAAAGCACAGGAAATACAGTCAATATCTTTGTACAGTGACAGATCGTTGCCAGATGTATTGTGGTGACCACATTGTAAGGTATATAAATGTAGAATCACTATGTTGTACACCTGAAACTAATATAATATTGCATGTTAACTATACTTTAATAAAATAAATAAATATAAAAAGTAACTATTAAACAAACAAGTAAGACATTATATTCATAGCTTTTCAGGTAATGAAAGTAGTTTTAAAACCTCAAATTATATATATCTATTCCTAAGAAACAGAACATTAAATTATGTAATAGCAACATTAAACTGTAAGTTTAAATGAGATTTTTGCTTTCAGTAGAAAAATGAAGAATGGTGAAGCCAAGTAACAAATGAAATAAATTAGAATGAGTTCTGAATTCAGTTCAATTATTTATTGAATGCCTTGACTAAATACCTAAGATGATCCAACTCTAAATTACAACTATATAAAAAGTTAGATGTGCCCTGAAGATAATACCTGTCAGTAAAATTTCAGAAAAAAATCGACTTGCAGCATTGAGTAAACCAGCATTCCTAAACTATGTTCATTGGAATACTTAATTTCAAATTATCAACATAGTCCAATAAAGCGTCTGACAGTAAAAAAACAAAAAACGAAAAAAACCACAAAGAACATGGAGAAAGCTAATTCTAAATTTAGATTCTTTTTTTATGTTAGGACTTCTGAAAGATTTTAACATACTAATAATGTAAACTGTGATTCTTCATGAGGGAGAATACAGTCATTCCCACATAATCATTTTTTCAGAAAATATCTATTAATAGTTTATGGAAAAATTCTGTAATAGTTTGGGATATACTGGCATAGAACAAAAACTAGAGATATGGAACAGAACATCTCGGCTTAAGTTTGTTCATTAATTAGCTTAGTTTATTTTTTATTTCTTATTTTTTTATATTTAATAAATTAATTTACTGCTGAATAATTATGTACATGATAAAACATTTAAACTACACACATGGGAAGAAAGTTAAAAGCAAGTTTCCCTCACATCACTGACCCTTACTTAGTTCCCCAGTTCTCCCCATATTCATCCACAATCAAGAACCCTTGTATATCCTTACAGAACTGTTCCATGCACATATAAAAATAATTAGCTTAGTTTATATTTATTGAGTGCCAACCATGTGCCTGGCATTGGGAACAACAATGGTAAATAGAATAGACACAGTTCCTGACATTGCAGAGCTTCACTTTAGTAGGGTGGAGAGATACAAGTAAGAGTCCTAAAAATAAATTGTAAAATGTGATAAGTGCTATGAAGGAAAAGTACAATGTGCTAAGGGAAATATA